TAACATTCAAGTTAGGAGTTCATGCTTTAAAGGTAATATATATATATATACAAGAGGAGGCTTCGGTCTTACCTCAAAATACTTTTATTCTTCGCAAAAGTAGGATTAGGAGATTACTCATCATACATACCTTTATGATATTCATAAGAATCCAATTAAATCTTTTTGCGATATCTTAGCTAAATTTGATTCGAAACATACAAAAACAGTTAATATACATTTCTTTTAAATCAAATTTTACGCTTAAGACAATCTTTCTGATAATGTCCTTTCCTTCACATAATAAAAACATATCTACCTTAAATTCATTCATAACATCTGGTAAAACATTTCTTTAATTTCTTCTTTGTACTTTCTGATTAAGCCTTAGATTATTTACCAATTACTTATAAGGTTGATCGGTTAACTCTTCTATAATTCATTAATCTTATTTCCTCTCAAGTAAACAAAAGGTTCCAAATACCATCAATGTCTACTGGAGCAGCAGCAATGAAGGCAATATATAATAAATACACAAGTTATCGTCAATAAGGTGGGATCATCAAAACACCAAACCATCTAATGTATTTTAAATCCTAGTTATCCACTTACAGAAGCGACCCCATAGGCTTTTGCTTTCGCCTCTCTCGGAAATTGCAGGTAAAATCTTGGTTTATTTAATCATCAGTGCTCCCAAACACACGAGGTTTCTATAAATAAAAATATAAAAATAAAAGGCTTGTTATTCAACAGTATAACATGACTTGTATATACTCATGTCAACTAAGGTGTATGTGGATTTGTTCCAATTTTAAAAAGTTGATTGGAAATATACGGACTTTTCTACAGAGAATTAGAATTTCATTATGATAGTGGGCTGCCCGGGATTTGAACTCCCTTCTCAAAGACATGGTTAGCATTTGAACCTGCAACCTTGACATCCCCGGCCTTTTCATCTCCCTGCAGGGCAAGTGGACATTGTATCAAACTGTTCTGAATTCCAATATGATTTAATAAACAGAGATTATCCTAGCTAGAATACTATAAGTAATTAAAACTATGTCATACTTTTTCCTGTTTTAGCATTTTTCGGGAGATTGACTGAAAACAATCTTGTGATGTGTTTTGGAGGTAAGGTTCGGTCCCTCTCGCGTTCTGCTGGCTTAAGTATCTGATCAATGTCCACGTTGATAAATTGCTCTCACCATTAATCTAATACAAGGGAAATTTGTATCTGTTTTCTGGACAAGCCTGCCTTTGCTTTGGAACTGTAAAGATATGGCACATGAGCCTAACTGAACCCCAAAAGCTAGCTCATGAGGGAAGGATTGTCGAAGTCCATATAAGGAGACCACCAATCAATTCTCCAAACAATGTGGGACTTTTACCCACTTTAACATAATTACGTCAATGGTGATGACATGGCATCCAAAAGCGGTATTAAAATCATAGAGGCAGAGCGTTTGATGTCTCCAACTTGAATAGAACGAGTGTTGAGCACTTTATAGCATTTGAGTCATACAGTTTACCAAAATAATTAACGAATTATAGAAGAGTAATCTGATCAACCTTATAACTCAAGTAGTTGATAAATGATCTAAAGCTAATTAAATCAGAAAATATAAGAGGAAGAAAGCATCTTTCTAATGTTTTAGTGAATATTATGAACGATTTTAAGGTAGATACGTTTTATAACGTAAATTTTTTATTTGAAAAGAAATGTATATTAACTACTTTTATATATTTTGAATCTAATTTAGCTAAGATATTGCAAAAAGGGCTATCCAAACATTGATTTATCGTTGTAAAACATTTACTTGTGATTTAAGGGCTGAGCCTCACTACGGGTGGGTAGACGTGGTAGGTGATCAAGTCAATTGTTCTCTATATACAACCTCCTAGTGTGTATCTAAACATTGATTTTGGGTCATCTGGCCTCCAGACGATGATTCCTCTCCAACTAGATGATTTCTTCCCACCAATATAAGTTTTGTCGAGCAGAGTTACAGCAGAGAGATAGTAGGTATGTTGGTATAGTCGTGACATATGTGCAATTTCGCATGAACACCATCATAAGTCTCCTCCAACTTCTTCACAGTGACAACGCGTCATCTCATTCATAAAGACTGATTCTCAAGATAGTTTCAAAATTTAGTTGTAATCTTTTGCTAGTTGCTACTTTCAGTTTTTTTCATTCTTTCAGCATTGTGGTATTTGCATTTGTTTTGTATGTTTGACATGTTTTTGGATCTCCCAAGTCAAATTTTTGACACTTTTTCGTTCAACACTCTCACTTAATTTACCATTCTAAAAAAATCTTGCATTATCGATTTCAATAATTCTCGAACTACGATATGAATAGTAAAACCTCTGTTCTTTAGATTTCTTTGGATAATGAATTAATCACTTACTATTATAATTTTACATTTAACATTGTCTTTCTTATAATTTCCTTTAAATCCATTCATAAACACATTATTAGATGCTTTCTTCCTCTTATACTTGTTGATTTAGCTTTAAATACTTAATTACCAACTACTTTAACTTATAAGGTTGATCAAGTTAACTATTCAGAATTTCGTATAAAAAAGTACATCTAAGATATAAATTTAACTTAATTGACTTTTAGATTCTTATCGTTGAATCCGTTTAACTTTTAAAACTATAGGTCCAACTATGTATACACTTCGAGACTGCATCTAGACATCTATATTTCAGTAATTTTTAAAAATATGTATAACACTAATATATACGATTCACGAAGAAAAGCATAGATTTACGTGAACTCGGCGACCCCATCTAGATATGCCTCTGATCAAATAACTCTTTTTAAGTGTATAGAAACAGGTGTGAGATGAACGACATGAAGAATGAACCATGCATAACCATTCTTAATGAATTTACATAATGAATGTAAATAACTAATCATTACAATATTTCATAGTTTTTCTTTGAGTAGATAGTATATTCTTAGTGTTATTTATTGTTATTATCCCTTTTAATCTTCAATAGACAATTAAAAGTTCTCAATCAAATATATTTTTTAACATTCAAATATATACGTTTGACTACAAAAAAAAAAAGTAATATGCCCATCATGTTCACTATTTATGAAGTAATATGTACTTATCTCATTATATCAAATACAAATAACAAAATTTAATGATGTATATCATTCATAAATATATTAATTTGACTCACAAATTACATCACTTTGACGACTCATAAATGTTTCTCATCAAGATAAACTCATCATTAAATTTAATTGCCCAAAAAAAATTTAGAAAAAGAAAAAACAACACCATTAATTTTAGGGAAAAATCTAATAAATAATATCTTGACTTTACGGGAAAAATCAAATTTTTTAATTCAGAATTTATTATGTTTAACCATTTTCTCATCCCCCCCCCCCCTAATAAACGGAA